TATTGGGCTATCATTGTCGGTGTAAGATGATGTCTCATCAGTGTTTTGATTTGTATCTTCGAGAATGCTAATGATCATGAGCATTTTTTCAGATTTGTTAGCCATTTGGCTGTCATTTTTTTGGTATACTGTCTGTTCATGTCCTTTGCTCACTTTTTAATTGGATTATTCATTGATTTTCTTATTGAGGTCTTGCAGTATTCTATAGAATTTAGAGATCAGTCCCTTGTCGTGTCCTTGCTTAAGACTTTTTCCCCATCTGTGGGTTCCCTTTTGACTCTTTTGATGAAGTCTTTTGATGCACATAAGTGCCTTATTAGTAGAAAGTTTCCAGTCATTTGACTTCTACTGTGTGTGCTTTGTTTGTCTGATAATATGTCCACGCTCTGCAATAGGGCCCTTCAGTTTGTTCCTTTTTTCTTATTGATGACCTTGAGAGCTCTGGGATTTATATTGAGGTCTTTGATCTATCCTAAATTTGTTTTTTGTACAGGGAATGATGTATGGCTTCTGTTTTATTGTGTAGATAAAGATTAAATTTTGCCAGCAACATGTGTTGAAGAGACTATCTCTTTCCCTTTTAATGTTTTTTGGCCCTTTGTCAAACGAAGATCAGTTATCTGTAGGTGGATGAATTCACTTGAATTTTCTTATCCTGTACCCTGCCACATTGCTGAATCTTTCATTTGTTTTTTAATTAATTTTTTTAAATCTTTCAATTGTTCCCAACAATTTTCTTTAGTTGCGTCTTTGGGGTTTTTACATATAAAATAGTTTCTTCAAATAGTGAGAACTTCACTTTTTCTTTGTCCATTTGAATTCCTTTGATTTCTCTTTGTTGTCTTATGGTTCTGTCTAATACTTCCAGCACAATGTTGACTAAGAGTGGTGATAAATGGCATCCTTGTCTGGCTCCCATTGACAGGGAGAATGCTTTTGGTCCCCCCCCCCACTGAGTAAGATGTTGTTCATTAGTTTTTCATATGTGGACTTTATTGTGTTGAGAAATTGCACTTCCATTCATTTTGATGAGTATTTTTTATCAAGAATGAATGTCAGATATTGTCAGATGTGTTTCTGTATTGGTTAATATGATCATGTGGTTCTAATTTGTTTTGTTTACATAGTGGATTACATTGTTTTTCTAATGTTGAACCATCCTTGCATATCTGCTACGAATTCCACTTTATCATGGTGTATTATTTTCTTGCGATACTATTGGATTCCACTGGCCAGGGTTTTGCTGAGAACTTTTGTCTCTGTTCATAACGGATGTTGGACTGTAGTTTTCTACAGTGTTGTTTTTTTCTGACTTTGCTCCTTTCATAAAATGAACTTCGGAGTTTGTTGTCCTTATCTATATTTTGGAATAATCTGTGCAGAATTGTTATCAGCTCTTCTTTAAATACTAGATAGTGTTCCCCAGTGAAGTCTCTAGTCCTGGAGTTTTTTTTTGTCTGAAGTCTTTAAATGACCAGATGTGTTAGACAGGATTCTCTAGAGAAACAAAACCAGGACACGAATAATTGTATATATATTTATATAGATAGATAACATAAGAAATAAACAGTTAATTAATCTATAAGGCAGTACAAATGGCTCAGTGCAGCTCACTTCCATGAGACAGCTAGTACACTGTCAGTGCTTCAAGTCTTGAGGGCCGCAGGGTAGTCCTCCGTGGAGCAATTCAGGCTATCTGGCCACAGGCAGAAAACAGCAAGCAGGTCACCACAGTCAGCCAGATGACAGGGTCCGACAGTCCTCAGCTCAAGAGATGTACCTTCCAGCAGCGTGGTGAAGCAGGTTTTGAAGGAAACTCAAGTTACAGTGACATAGTCCACGGGTTAGGTGTCCCACAGGTAGTATAGCTTGCAAATGGAGACACAGAACAAGCAAGGCAGCCGCACACTGGTCTGATGATCAAAGAGCAAGAAAGAAAAAGGCAAGTTTCGCCAAGCCATTTATCTCTCCGCCCTTCAACTAATCTCACATGCGTTCATTGGCCATGTTGGCACAACAAACCTACCTATCACACCAGATTTATGTCCTCTTTTGTTGTGGTCTGTTGAGGTTTCCTGTGTCAGTTTGTGTAGTTTGGGCAGTTGGTATGTTTCTAGAAACTTGCCTATTCCACCTAGGTTTTCAAATTTGTTGGAGTATTTCTTTTGTAGTAATGTTTATTATTCTTTTTATTTCATTTGTTTTTTTTTTTTCATTTGGTTTTAATGTGATGTTGCATTTTTCATATTTAATTCTTGATTTTTGCCGTTTCTCTTTCTTTTCCTTTAAGTTTTTCAATTCATTTATTTCTGCTCAAATCTTTATGATTTCTTTTTTCCCCCCTAGTAGTTGAAAGTTTATTTTATTGCTCTTGTTCTAGTTGTTGAAGATGCTGGGTTAGGGTACCATGTAATCTTGAGACAAGAGGCTGGATTCTTCTATCTCCTATTTCAAGTTCCAATGACCTTAAGGAATTTCCCCATGCCAACACAAATGGACCTGCCCAAACTACACAAACTGACATAGGAAACCTCAACAGGCCACAACAAAAGAGGAAATAAATCTGGTCATTTAAAGACTCCAAACAAAAAAAACCCTCCAGGACTAGAGACTTCACTGAGGAACTCTACCTAGTATTTAAAGAAGAGCTGGTACCAATTCTACACCCACACTTAAACTTTAAATATGTGGCATATTACAATACTCACTACCTTTGAGTGCACTGCAACTCATACTGACCCTATAGACAGCGTGGAACTGCCCCTGTGGGTTTCTGAGACTAACTCTTTATGGAAATAGAAAATTTTGTCTTTCTCCTGCATAGCCACTGGTGGTTTTGAATTGCTGACATAGAAGTTAGCAGCCCAATATGTAACCACTACGCTACCAGGGCTCCTCAGCCTACATAATTTTTAATTTTAGATTCTCTTGCAAGACTAATGTGTTTTTAGTTCAACTCTCTTGCCCTGGAGCATTCAGCATTTGGCCAGGTCAGTTTGGCCATAGGAACAAGAGTAGACCACACACTTATGACTTTGAATTGAACCCAAGAGCAAAGAACACCTGGGCAAAAAGAAGAAGAAGAAAAAAGAATACCTGGGTAGAGGACTTAAACCTGAGGAACTGTATGCCTGGTGCAGGTATGTGATCCATAAGTGATACCACACCGAAAGCCTTTGCCTCCGACTCTGTCGTGAACACCTGTGTGTGCACACATAATTACCATAACTGCACCTATGTGGATTCAATTTCCAGAATTCTTCATCGCCTTTCCGGATTAAACAAAATGTCCTTCCCACCTAAATTCCCTGAAAAATATCCCTCCTTTGCTCTTGTTCTGTGAGACATAGTCTGCATTGCCCTAGGATTCTTCATGTCTCCTCTTGTAAGACGCGTCTTTATCCAATAAACCTTTTCCCCTATGTTCTCTTGCAAGGTACTTCTCTCTCTAATAAATCTTTTTTTTCTCTCTCTAATAAATCTTTATGCTTGGCTCCTTGCTTTGGCTGTGCTTGGCTCCTTGCTCCTCGGTTCCCTGGCTATGCTTGGCTCAGTTATTCTTAATGAGTAGGGAAAGAACCTTCAATTAGAAGGCTTATCAAGTAACAGTCTAATTCATTTTATTCACTGTTACCATTTTCATTCTCCTGATGAAGAAATTTACTCATATCGCTTCTCTCTTCACAACTCTTCAGTGGCTGCCCAACTAAGTAGGAAAAGAATCCAGAATTAATGACTTACTATTCTCTGCTGTCTTAGACCCCTTTCATTTCTGGAATGTCTACCTTCTCTCCTGATAATTAAAACTGCTACACTCTTCAAAATATAAATACTATTTTCTCTGTTACTGGAGTTCTGGAGAGAAAGGAGGACTGGAGAAGTAGTTGTGCGGTATATATCTTCTGTGGAGTGTATACATTTTTTATTCAGCCAGGAAGTATAGAGACAGATGTCCTTCATAATCCTTGGATAGAAGTAAACTTTTCCTCAGGCAATAATTCTACAGTTTACACCAATAACACTTTCAGACTTCTATTACAGTTTACTGTTTATGCATCTATTTCTCCCACTGGTTATGAACTTCCGGTAACGAAAGATTCACCTTATTTAGTATGTGCCTAATTCCAGGAAACATCCAATAAACACAGAAGGCAATGATAATTTGGGATCAGATTACCTGGTTTAAACTCCGTGAATATTAGAGTTGATGGGAGAGTTAGAGGTCATTCTGCAACCCATTCATTTAGAAATAGGTAAAATTAGACTTAGAGAGGCTAAGACTTGTACATGTCACCAGTGACATGTCACATCTGGACCAGCGATCCTGATTTCCAAGTCGGAATCGTTGTTAAATGTTTGTGCATCTCTTCTCCGTTCAAGGCTTCCGGCTTCCCAGAGTGACCGTATCTACAGCTCCCAGGATTTATGTCCTTTTAGCCATCCTACTCTATCTACCTCTCTCGGTCAGCCGAGTTCACCAATTCTAATCACAACGCCCCAGGCTGCATAGGGAATTTAGCTGCCACAGGGGGCAGTTACGTCACTGCCCGCTCCTCCCATTGGCGGGTGGAGCGCGACGTGATGACATCAGACGCACAGGTGGGCGGGACCACGAGAGGAAGGAGGAGGGAAGTAGGAGGGAAGTAGGACTTCAACATGGCGGCTGCGGTACTGGCGGCGTCTACGGTGACGGCCTGGCCTGGGGCGGGCAGAGTTGGAGGCGGCGGCGTCCGTTCTCCCTAGGGGCTGTCCGGGGCTCAGAGGGGAGAAGGCCTGGGCGACCCGTCGGCACCGGCACCCTTCGGCTTCTGGGACGGTGTGGTAGCGGCGTTCAGGTGAGGGGGCCTGTCTGGGTTCTGGGGGAGGGAAGGGGGCGGAGTTGGGGAGGGGGCCCCAGCATTGGATGACGGATAAGGGAGGAAATTAGAGGGAGACCGTAATGGGGTGAAAAGAACTGGGTGTAGAAGGAAGGAGCCCTGAGGTGTGTGGCCTGGGGTGGATTCTGGGAGAAGAGTCGGAGTGAGGAGATCAGAGTTGAAGGGGCGGAGGGCAGATGGGATGCGCAACATGAGTTCGAATTAAGGGGACCAGTACCCCACTAGAAGCTAGGTGCAGTAGACCCAGTCTGGTTCAGCAGGGTGTGAGCTCCGTGGGAACTAAGTGGTAAGGTGTCGGGGAGGGGGACCCAGATATTCGTAAAGACGAGGACGGGAAGTTGAGGTTGAGTTGGGGTCGTGAGAAACTGCTTTCTTGCTCTCCGAAGCCATGAGAAATGGGAAAAAGGGAAGAGACCGGATCCGAATGAGTATTTTTGGACACTCTCTGGTCTTCTCCAGGTATATATTTATCTTGCCTTTTTGGTTTGTTTTTGGGGTGGAGACTTAAACTTGTATGGTTCACCGGGGCCTTGAAAATAGCTTCCCGTCCTTCCTGTGGGATGTCAAATTACATTTCATTTATTTGATCTTTGACCTTTGTGTTGTTGCCGCCTGTCGTTTGCTCCCACACTAGCCTCTTGAAAGTATGTGGCTCGGCATAAAAATACATTACATGTTAAGCAAATAAAAAGTTAAGAGTCTTTTCAGACACCCTGGGATATTTAGCATAACTGGATTAGTAGTTTACTATTAAAATCTATTTTGTTCTAACCCCACTTTCTAGTGCTTTGTCTTTTTCCTCAGCTCTTTTATGGCTATTTGAGAATTTAAGTAGATAAAATAGATGTTTCCTTTTAAATTTCGTCAAATTTGATAGTAGGAAAAACAGGGCACTTATCCTGTAGTGAGAGAAAGTTCTTTCTGATTCACTTCCTAACTTAGTTCAACTTGGAAGTTTCTGTGTTATCTTATATCAAAGAATGTGAAATGTCCAAAGTCTGAAAGATTAGTATTGTCTGATTAACTTACTTTCTTTTAGTGGAGTTTTTATAAATAAAAATTTTTACCCTTATTCCCTCATTCATTTTGCTGCTTATTCAATGCCTACTGTGTGCTACCTTAATAATGTGTGTTCCATTATATTGATGGAAATGGAAAAATTAACATTTTCCCTTTGTTTAGTTTTTAGTGAGTGTCTCAATCACCACACAGCAAGCATGTTGGCAAATCACTTATTAACCTGCTGTGGCCTGGGGGTGGGGACTGGGGGGCATGGGCGTGGCTGTGGGAATGTTATTTTACAAATAAAGGCACGGGAAGAAAATTAGGTGAATATAGGAATACAATTTCTTTTCATTTAGTATTTAAGACTCATTCCTTATAACATTCTATGTATATCTGAAACATGTTATGTTTTCTTTTAATTTTAAAGATGACAGTAACAGTATTGCAAGATAATGCTAGGTCTGTAGATAATTCTCATCAGTGGTTCAACTTTCTTTGGGAAATGTCACCTGTTTTTTGTGCATTTGTTTCATTGTCTCTTGATTATGATGAGGTAATTAAAGCAAACCCCCCCAATTTCTTTTAGTGATTAAAATTCTATTTTTCCTATTGTCTAATTATTGACTATGTTGGGATTTTTCAAATATAGATCATGTTTTTTTAATCATTTTATTAGGGGTTCATACAACTCTTATCACAATCCATAAATACATCAATTGTGTAAAACGTATTTGTACATTCATTGTTCTCATCATTCTCAAAACATTTCCTCTCCACTTAAGCCCCTGGCATTAGGTCCTCATTTTTCCCCTCCCTCCCCGCTCCCCCCTCCCTCATGAGCCCTTGATAATTTATAAATTGTTATTTTGTTATATCTTGCCCTGTCCGACGTCTCCCTTCACGCACTTTTCTGTTGTCCGTCCCTCAGGGAGGAGGTCACATATAGTTCCTTGTAATCAGTTCCCTCTTTCCTACCCACTCTCCCTCTACCCTCCCAGTATCACCACTCAAACCACTGGTCCTGTAGGGATCATCTTCCCTGGATTCCTTGTATTTCCAGTTGCTATGTGTACCAGTGTACATCCTCTGGTCTAGCCAGACTTGCAAGGTAGAATTCATATCATGATAGTGGGAGCGGGGAGGAAGCATTTAGGAACTAGAGGAAAGTTGTATTTTTCATCGTTGTTACATCGCCCCCTGACTGGCTCGTCTCCTCCCTGCAAATATAGATCATTTTAAAGGTAAGCTTCCCCCCCTTCCTCACACATTAACCCTGTGGTCCCTCTACCCTTCACCCCCCACCCTGCAAAAAAAAAAAGAGAGCATTATCAATTTACATTAATCAGATCTTTGTAGACCATCTTTTTAAAAAATGCAAAAGGGAATATGAAATACTTTAAGAAAACCTTGAGTTGAAAAGAACCTTAGAAATTACCTGGGTTTAGTTTCTCACACAGTATGGGAAATCCCTGCTTGTATACCATCCCAGACAAGTGAAAATCTTTCCTCTTTTCCAGAATCTATAATTGCTTGTGGGAAAGATCCTTTACTTTAAGAGGAAAGAAGTAACATCTTGTAACCTATAGCATACTGTTTCCTGTAAAGTTGCACCTGCCCCAAGTCATGGTATTTCCAATCACCTCCTATGTGTGTGAAAGCTGGACAGTGAATAAGGAAGCTTGGAGAAGAATTGATTGATGCATTTGAATTCCGATGTTGGCAAATAATATTAAATAAACCATGGACTGCCAGAAGAATGAACAAATCTGACCTGGAAGAAGTACAGCCAGTATGCTCCTTAGAATTGAGGATGGCGAGACTACAATTCACATACTTTCAGCGTGTCATCAGGAGGAACCTATCCCTGAAGTAGGACATCATGCTTGTAATGTAGGAGGTCAGTGAAATGGAGAAAGGGCCTCAGTGAGGCGGAACGACAGTGGCTGCAATGATTGTGAGGCCGGTGGAGGACCCGGCAGTGTTTGCTGAGCTGTAGGGAGGGTCCTTACATGTGGGAACCAACTTGATGGCACCTATCAACAAGGGCATTCAATACATAATTTCCTGAGAATCGAGGGTTAATAAATTCAGGTTGAAAAAGAGTTCTGTGAGAGTAGCAAGATTTCAAAGAAAGGCACTGACACTGGGCCTGTTCGAATGAGCCAGGCAATGCTCAGCATTGGACATTAATCCTCACGATGTGACTAAGTAGGTAGGTTGTGGTATGCATGTGGTTTCTGTTTTTTATCTTTAGGAAAATGAAAGGATGACTAGCTTAATTAAGGTTATAGCTGTGGTAAAGTCTGGAGAGGTGGAGTCTCAATGTGTAGACTGTATTTTGCTCCTCTTTGTTGGTCACAAGAGCATTCCAATTTCTGTAAAATAAAGTTTGGAAAGTACAGTGGTTAAGAAAAATGAACAAACAAGGAATTAGCTAAGTGGTGGGGAGAAGGAAAATAAAGTACAGGATAAACTCTAGTTTTAAAAAAATGACATTTGAAATTATTTGTTCTTACTGAGTTAGTACTGTAATTGGAATGACATAGCTCATTAAGTTTTAGTCACTTATGATGTCATCAGTATTCTAGGAGGAAATGAATATCGAGTTTTGTACTATACTCACACACAAAAACCTGATAGACTGGATAAGAACCGTTTTGTATTGCTGAGTCAGATTGGACCCAGTTCATTAATGGCCCAGCCTTATAGTTGCCAGTCATCCACATATGTTTTCAGAAGTCAGTATTGCTCATTGCCAGTTGCTTAATACTTGCAGCACTTCCCATGTGTGAGTCACTGATTGGCTCGCAGTAATTGCGAGTCTTGTGGTCACTGAGTCAAGAGCCAGTAGGGTTTTGTTTTGGTTGATTTACTTCCTTCCCTTTGAATTGTTTCCCAATCTGATGTGCTTGAAATGGTGTCTTTGGTATTCTGTTATTAGCTTTGCCCCAAGTTGAGTTTCTTTTTTACATTTTGAACCATTTGTGTTACTTCTGTAAAGTCTGTATTCAAGTTCTTGGTCTGTGTTTATCCTGGGTTATTTCCCTTTTTCTGATTTTTTTTAAGAGTTTAAAATATATTCTGGATACTAATTATTTTTTATGGGTTGCAACTATCCTCTCCCATTTAGTGGCTAGTCTTCATCTCATCTTAGTTTTTAGGTGAGGAAAGTTCATAATTTAATGAACGAAATTTTCCAATCTTTTCTTTTTATGGGTTGTGCTTTTTGTATCTACTGTCATGCGTGCTATTGTAATAAACTCATCAGTCTATCTGTAATGTTACATTTCATCTCATATTGGTTCCAGTAGTTGGCTTGAGTAGCTTCAGGACTGTCTCTGGTTGCTTCTCAGGAGTTGCTTTCCTCACCTTGGACTTAAAAAGCCACAGGGCTTTAAAGCCAGCTTTTTACTCCGGTAAAATGCCTTTTACTCGGGCTACATACATTTTCCAAAACTCAGACCCCCATCAGATTTATGAATGAGCTGTACATTTTACTAAATGTTAACAGTGTGGTAGACCAGGAGCACCCTTTCTTGTGTGGACAGTATTTGATACATAATGAGACACTGTCGAAGTTGTTAGGACACCTAAGATGTTTTCAGAAAGGCTTTATGCTGTCTACCATTTGGCTATATTAAGAATAATGGTGAACCATGGAAGGGCTAATATGGACACTGTTTGGAAGAGGTTGGTTTTCTTGTTTGTGGTTTGTGTGTGTGTGTTTGTAATCCCTGTCCACCTCTGGATTTGTGTGGCTTCCTTTTACCATTAAGCTTGTCTCTCTCAAGTTTTGTTACGAAAAGCTTGGCAGCATTTGATTGTCTTTGTTGTATACTAAACCTGTTTACAATTTTTAGGGATTACTTGACTTTAGGAATCATTCTAAGGAGCTGAATGCTTGATCCTTTGCAAAAATCACTAGAGAAATAGAAAATATTCACCATACTTTAAATGTACTGCAAATCCTGTGCAAGGGTGTCTAGATGTGGCAGTACGCCGTGGACATTTGTGAAGGGGATGTTCCTTGTTCTTTGGGAATCCTTGCACAGTATAGAATGTCTCTCATGAAATAAAAAAAAAAATAACGGGAAAATGTTAATAGACCATTAAATGCGATCATTAAATACATGGGAACAGCAAAATTAGATATGAATGCTAGATTTAGTTTTCAGCTACCTCCACTTCCCTATCTTTTTTCTGTTATCTTCTGGTTTATCTCTCAAATCAAACTTACTTCCATGGAGTTCATTCTGACTCATAGTGAGAGCCTATAAGACAGGGTAGAACTTCCCTTGTGGGTTTCTGAGACTATAACTTTTTTGGCGAGTAGAAAGCCCCGTCTTTGACCTTGCTGTTAGCAATTCAACAAGTAACCCACTATGCCACCAGGGTTCAGTCTATCCTTCCCTGCCATCGAGTTGATGCTGACTCATAGTGACCCTATCGGACAA